TATGGCAGATGCTCAATAAAAATCCTGATCTGATAAATCGAGTGGTTATTTGTTGTGCTGTGGTTAACTGTCATGAGCTATACAAAGGCTAATGTAAATTGGAAAATCATATACTGATAATATATACACTAATGCCAAGGTCTCTGGAAAGAGGTTTGGTATAGTGATTCTTATATTCCATATGGTGACAACATGAGTCTGATGGTGTAAGATGTCTTCCAGTGTTGTGTTGGGCCACATAATTATTGTTCATACATAAATCGTTTAGAACTGCTTTTATTTAGTGAACAATTTCAGTTCTGTTCACCAGGAAGTGCTGGGTAACACTGCTTTACTTTAAAGCTTTACTACCTAATAAAACAATCTATTGTTCTATAAATTGAAATAATCCTTACTGTTACTTAATAATTTCTACTCATACTTTCTTACTTTCAAAAAGTAACCTGATTACCTTCTGTGCATAAATATGAAAACACATTAAAATTCCTATTACCTATTAGCCTCATATGACACTGCACTAAATGTATGCCTGTCCTTGTGTACCCACAGGCTCTCACTTACTGATGTATTTTGCAACATATATAATTGGACAGACACCTTTTCCAGAATTCACCGTTGTAGGAATGGTGGATGATGTGCAAGTAAGGTACTATGACTCAGTTACACAGAGAGCTGTAAGTAACTCTCACAATGATTCCAAACACTATGATGAAGAGCAACATGATGACATTGTTATATTTCGTGATATGTATTACAACTTGAAAGATCGAGCATATTATCTGAAGGACATCCTAAATCTCTCTGATGGTGAGTTGCCTGTCTACATACTCAAATTATATTGTTTGAAGATTTATTTGAAGGTTTGGAAAAGAAATAAAAAAGAATACAGCATATACAAGAATTGGACAATGAAACTGAAACACTGGTCAATATAGTGTTTGAGGATTCACACTTATATATGCTTGGCCTAGTGGCCAAACTTCACTGATGTCAGAACAGAGTGTGAAGGTTGCTGTACATAAAATATTGCAATACACACAACTTAATGAGAGACATATCAGAGTTCCAAAGAGGACAAATTGTTGGTGTGTGTCTTGCTGGTGCATCTGTGACCAGGAAAGCAAGTCTGTGGTGTATTGAGAGTCACGGTATCCAGGGTAATGTCGGCATACCACCATGAAGTATGAACCACATCCAGCAGGAGTAACTTTTGAAGAGATTGTCTGAAAGGGACATAAATCCACAAACTGCCCCACTTACTGCAGAATTAAATGCGCACCTTGACTCTCCTTTTTCCTCCATAACTGGACGCAGGAGCTCCACAGGTTCAATTTTCATGGTTGGACTGCTATAGCCAAACCTTTGGCCACTCATGCCAAAACCAAACACTGGTTTCAAATCAGGGTATTTTAAATGTATTGTTCTCTTATGAGTCCGACTTCACTGTCTTTCCCAATCGGGAGAGTTAGGCCACATCCACAAGAAGCCAGAGCTTTCCCTATCCGATCTTTGTTCTTCCTTGTTCTAAAAAAAAATTCTGTAAACACAGCGTAGTCTCTAAAAATATTTGTGTACACACAAAAAATTACACACGAGTAATTTTTGATTTTGCTTTAGAAAAGCTAATAGGCTCAATAGCTACTGCAGCACGAACACAAGCATGTAGTCCGCCATTGTTGTTGTTGTTGCTGTCACGTGACGTAGCAGTGTCTGACTAGGGTCGAGACGTGGGTTGATGACATCATAGTTTCACAAAATATACGGATTGGCTGTACACACGAAAACGCAAGGGTGTCATTTTCAGATTTATCCACTCTGGGACCCGGTTTTAAAAAATAGCGGTTTCAGGCTCCCAAAACGTCGGATCCGTCTGGACGAAACGCCGATACGATACAATTTTTTTACGAATACAGCTAACGACGTGTCAGTGTGGATGTGCTCTTAGAGTGTGGAGAAGCCCCAAAGAGACTTACCACCTAGACCTTTCCCCAGAGTGAAGCACGGGAGTGGATCATTAATTGTTTGGGCTGCAATACCATGGCATTCCCTACTGTGGTAGTTGAGCGCATCCATACCAAGGACTACTGAACTATTCTGGAGAACCATGTGTACCCAAAGGTTCAAACACTGTATGTACCTTGAAGATTGTGCCACCAGAATCACTTAGTGACCTGGCCACACGTCTGCAAGAGAAATAGCTGAAAATCCCTCTGGCCACTGTGCAGGACTTGTATCTGGCATTCCCAATACCAATTGATGCTCTACTGGCCTGTATAGTGTTTCAGTTTCATTATCCAACCTTGTACGTTTGTTAGGCCTCATTTCAAATGAACATGTATAACATCAGTATGCTAAAGTAATGTATAAAATTATTTATTATTTTATAAACTTAATGTTTACTTATTTATGCATTGATTCAGGTCAATGGTAAGAACAATTCAAAGACCCATAGTGAATAACGATTTGATCAATATTTTGCTCAGTTTTATCAGTCTTTTCAGTTGTTGATTTTTTTTTTCAGTGTTGCAGTCTATGCATTTTTTTTTATAATTCTATTACTGCGTAATTTATGTAGACAAAAATACAAGATACAAAAATGTTGCACAATGTCACACCTCATTTTAGCCCACATTCTGATTTTACCACTTTGTGAAAATTTAGTTGTTTAATGTAATAGGTTCTTACATAATTGCTTGCATAATGGGACCACAAAAGTAACTAAATAAACTTTCTTTATCTCCATTTGAAGGTGTACATGTACATCAGAGGCTTGCTGGATGTGAATTGTTGGAAAATGACAAACCGGGTCTAGTTTACACATGGGATGCATTCAATGGTCAAATGAAAGAGTGGGGTACCTTTGACGCAAAGACAAAAACATTACAGATTAACTTGTCATTAATACGTGCATGGGACCAGCACAAAAGTCTTAATGTCAATTTTCTGTATGAAAATATTTATTATCCTATTTGCCTGAAAATTTTGAGGAGGAACTTGAACATGAAGAAAAGCAGCATTCTGCAAAAAGGTATAGATAACTTGTCTGATTAAGTACAGTACAAGAAGTGCATTACATTACAGTACATTGTTTTTAGAGTAAGCCATAAAATCACATGACAGGGGGCAAGGTTTCCCTGTCCCTGTGATTGGCTGATTGCCCTCTCAAGGCGATACTGCCTACCACCATGTTCGCATTTGGTCCACAAATACACAAACTGATAGACTAACTAAAAAAAAAAAACTCACGGAGAAACTGTGACTCGCTTCTCGCGAGAGAGTCAGTGCAATACACTTCTCTCTTCTGCTGAAGATTAAGAGATTGAAAAATATGAAGTTGCACAGGAAGAATACCAATAGAAAAATACTTCTCCATGAAAGGCATTTAAAAAGACATTTAAAATAAAACTACATTGCTGTATCATTGCAAGTGAAAGTTGTGAAGTTAGTTTATATAGTTGATAATATACAGTGAGTATAAAAATGGGTGGCAAGGCACTGTCAAAAGATCTCCTATGATAAAGTTGCGGACAGGCACAATTCACGAGATGGATGCAAAAACTTTCAAAGGCTTTATCAATGCCTAGAAGCACAGTGAAGTCTATTATTAAGAAGTGGAAGGTATTTGGTACAACACATACCCTCCCTGGATCAGGACATCACTCCAAACTGGATGAAAGAGCCAGGAGGAAACTGGTCAGAGAGGCGACCAAGAGGCCTACAGCAACTCTGAAGCAGTTGCAGGAATTTTTGACAAACAGTGGTCATTGTGTGCATGTGACAACAATATCACAAATTCTCCACAAATGTGGCTTGTATGGGAGGGTTGCAAGAAAAAAGCCACTTCTCAAGAAAGGCCACATGCAGTCATGACTGAGATTCTGAGGAAGATGAGACTAAAATTGAAGTATTTGGCCTCATCACCAAACAATATGTCTGGCAGAAATCCAATACAGCTCACCATCCAAATAACAGCATTCCTACAGAAAAGTGACCACACAGTGGTTGAAGGAGAAAAGTGTGAATGTTATTGCATGGCCTAGTCCAGGGGTAGGCAAGTTCGGTCCTAGAGAGCCGCAGAGTTCAGCTCCAACCCTGAAAAAAAAACTCACCTGCCTATAGCCTTAGTAATCCT